AAAAAAAAAAAAAAAAAAAAACACAAGAAGAAATCATAGCAAGAAGTCTTTGTGACCTTTGAATAGAAAAATGCGATTTAGATATATTACAAAAATTACAATCTATAAAAGAACAAAAGAGGTGCCTGCATGGCCAGTTGGTTAAGCACCCAACTCTTGGTTTCAGCTCAGGTCACGATCTCACAATTGGGGGGATCAAGCCCAACATCGGGCTCCGTGCTGAGCATGGAGCCTGCTTGGGATTCTCTCTCTCTTCTCTGCCCTTCCCCTGCTTGAGTGCATGAAATATCTCTCAAAAAGAAAAAAAAACAAATAAACATTTACAAAAAATTTTTAAAAATTTTAAAAATTAAAAAAAAAGTAAATTGACCCTTATCAAAATTGAAAACTGCTTTTAAAATAACAAGCTAAGAGAATGAACAGAAACCACAGAACGGAAGATAGGACTGGCAAAATGCAGATCTGATGAAAAACTTGTGTTCAGAATATATAAAGAACTCTTACAATTCAACAAGAAAAAAATAAAATGCCCAGTTTAACAAAACAAAAATGGACAAATCATTGGAACAGACACTTGGCAAAGAATGGACACGGATGGACCAATAAGCACATGGAGATGTGTCCAACACCATTAGTCCTTAGGGAAACACAAATTAACAGCATGATCAGATTCAACTGCATAGTTATTATATAAGATGGAAAAGAATGGCCATAGCAAGTGTGGCCAAGAATGTGGAGCCACTGGAAATCATACATATCGCTGGTGGGAATGCCAAATGGGGCTGCCATTTTGAAAGTCCATCTGAGAGTTTCTCATAAACATTTATTGATACTATGACCCAGATTTCCTGCTCTTGGTCATTTACTCCAAAGAACTAAAAATTGATGTCTACCCAAAGGCCTCTGTGCAAACATCCAATGCAACTTTCATCATAAAAGCCAAGTTTCTTTCTCCAAAGCACACATGCCTCTCATGGAGCCTCTCAGCTCAGTTTTCCACTGAAGAGTAAAAAAAGTACTGGGAATAAAGATAAGATGTTTTTAGAACTAATTCTGCAAAAAATAAAAAGCAAATCAATTCTAGGAAGGAAATCCTAATCAGAGATCAGAGGACAATATTTCTTGGGGTTGTAATTCTGCAGAACACTTTGAGTCCAATACATAGATTATACCAATGTCCCAAAGTCAGTGCACCCCACTGATGTCTTAGAAAATTATTTTTATGACTGTGATCAGCTCAATTAAATAAAAAGGTACAGGGGCACCTGGGTGGCTCAGTCAGTTACATGTCCGACTCTTGATCTCAGCTCAGGAGCTCTTGATCTCATGGTTTTTGAGTTCAAAACCCCGTGTTGGACTCCTCACTGGTCATGAAGCCTACTTAAAAAAAAACACTGCTTCTTCACTAATATTACTATGGTTTAAAAAAAAAATGGATCATTTAGGGGAGCCTGGATGGCTCAGTTGGTTAGGCACCCAACTTCGGCTCAGGTCATGATCTCGCGGTTCGTGAGTTCAAGCCCCACATCAGGCTCTGTGCTGACAGCTCAGAGCCCCTGAAGCCTGCTTTGAATTCTGTGTCTCCCTCTCTCTCTCTCTCTCTCTCTCTCTCTAAATATAATGGATCATTTAGCTCAAATCAATAAATATATTTCTTAGGAGACCAGAATTGTATTCTGTTCCTATTTTATATAAATTCTCAATAAGTCCTATTATTCCCCAAAATGAAGGTTAAAAAAAAAAAAATAAGTTGGTCTTTCTTTGCTGCTGTTTCTAATTTGCTTTGGGATTTATTTTACTTTCCTTCAGAACTAGGTGAATATGGAAACATTACAATCAGTCTTTGGGCTTATGATGAAGACGTGTCAGTGGGTTGGAGCCACTAGAATAAACTATCCAAAAGGCGCCTGCAAGGTTGCCTCGGTCCGTTGTCTCCAGGGGGTGTTAGGATTCAGTAGGAAGGGTCTCCTCCTGGTGGGATTGAAAATCACGATAGGCATTCGAGTATCCATGCAACGTCTTACCTTCACATCAGCCTCCGGATCTTGAGCAGCAGAATCCAGGGGACTGTTGTGTCTCTTGCATGGAGGAGTGTTTTACCACGTGCTCATCCCCAAACCTCCCCAGTGAAAACCACACAGTGTCTGAGACCGGTGTCTTGTGCACCCATGACGTTCAAGAGGCACAGCCACGCACGAACCCAAATCTTTTAGGTACGTGTTGAGACAGAGTATGCTGCCTGTGTCCCGAACGCTCTGAGAACCACAATGGCGTGAACAGACAGTATGACATCACCTGTCCTGAGGGACCGTGCTTCCTGACACGGCCGCCAGCGTGGGGAAAACGTCCATCATACTCGTCGGTTCCTCGATCACTTTCCCAGCTGGTAACCTTCCCGGCCAGCGGACCAGTCCCGGGACGCGGATTCCACCTTCCCAGCCGGCCATGCCTTTCCCACCTACAGGGTGAGGCGACAGACGTCCAGGTAAAACAGTCGTGGGGGCAAAAGTGTTTAAAAATGTACTTGAAATGTATTTCTACTATTTAAAATATACTTAAATGTATTCAGATGTATTTAAAATGTACTCAAATGAATTTAAAAATTAATAGCACGGACGATGTGCTCGGAGCCAGCACTGTGCAGAACTCTGAACGGGTCACCGGTACGTGTCCATGCCATTCCTTTTCCTTGGGCTGCTGATAGGTGTTCAATTGAATAACTGATCACATTCAATATGGCGTATTAGCACTGGCTATTGCCTTCACCTGTACGGCTGTTACCCACGGATACACCTGCCTCGGCCCCAGCCTCCTTCACACCTTTGCTCCAGAGGTACTCTGTCTGTCATTTCTGCAGGCACACTTCTGATCAAATGACAGCCCCATCCTAGAATTTTTTCAGGCTTTTTTTTTTTTGTTTGTAGATTTACTAACATGTCCTAGAATTTACTCACTCTTTTCTTTTTCCTGGTATGCCACCATTCAGGACAACGTAAATTCCCTGAAGTCAGGGATTCATTGCTTTTGGTCACTGCTGAATCCAGAACACATGAACACACGTTGAATGGAATAGTATGGATTTATGCAAATTTATTACCCAACCCAGGGCATTCTACAGAATGCGCGTAGGAGTCAGCAATGACCCGCGACTACAGGCATAAACCAGGATTCCCTTGAGCAAACCAGGAAGAATGGCCATCCTACGGTGTTCATGGATTCTTATTATTTCATTAAATTACTCAATCACAGCATGTTCAGAAATGGAGATTTTTTAAAAAATATCCTGATAGGCAAAAATAGAATTTCGAGAATTTGAAATTGAAATTGAAATCCCAATTTCCTCATGGGATTTATTTGATTTCCTAAGCGTGCACTTCACTTGTGCACTGATGCCCCACAGCCAGACTGAGACAGGGACGACCCTATCCACACAAAAACATTATTTCCTACTGAATCTGTATTATTATCGTTCATACAATTATAGATTCAGTTGTTCTGCATTCAATAGGAAAGCATGAATATCATTAATATTTTCCTCTAGAAAACACTTTGAACTGCCTTTCAATACCCATGCTAACACGTACTGAACATTTTCCAGACAATTTTCTCTTCACACCAGGGTACGTATTATACAGACCAGGACAACATGGCCTAATGGAACGTGTTTTCATGCACTAAATGTTGCATCAGGACAAGGAGTCGTTACCTGTGCATTTAATGACACAACCAGAGACATGCTTGCTTTTGTGTGTGCTAAGCCATATCCTTACAAGACAGCACCGAATCTTCCTTAATAACCCAGGAGCCTCTGCTTTTTGTCCTCCATACCCTGGCTACCAGATTTTTCCATGTCGAGTCTTCTTTCGACAGCCTTATAAATGTAATCAATGAGTAGATAGATATTCAGTTCATTGGCAGAGTTGTGCAAAGGCACATGGTTATGGTAATACTTTATAACCTCACAGGGTTTCCAGGCAGGCAGATTTCTAGATGTCCCTTCAGCAGAGTACCAACCCTGGGGGCTAATTTCCCCAGAAATCGTGGCAAACTTAAGGTCAATTTCCTTGGTTAGCACGTTATTTTACCCAGAGCCAAACAAAATGAACTTGTTCACTTTTTCATGCATCAGTCGGTTCAGTTCACAGATTTCCATTATCATGAGCACGAGAGAGCTTACTTACAACCAGACCCGGCTCACCATCCCCCTCCTCACCTTTGTATATTCCGTTCCATCCCCCGAGCTGGGCGTGGCCCACCCGTGCCTCCAAATGTCCGCCGTGGTCTGATGTAAAGTAGACGAGCGTGTGGTTCCTCACACCAAAATCATCAATGGCATCAAGAAGCTTGCCTGAAATAGTAAAAAAGAAAGAAAGAAGGAAGGAGGGAAGGAAGGAAGGAAAGAAGGAGGGAAGGAAGGAAGGAAGGAAGGAAGGAAGGAAGGAAAAGAAGAAAGAAAGAAAGAAAGAAAGAAAGAAAGAAAGAAAGAAAGAAGAAAAGAAAAGAAAGAAAAGAAAAGAAAAGAAAAGAAAAGAAAAGAAAAGAAAAGAAAAGAAAAGAAAAGAAAAGGGACACGTGTAATGAACGTCATGATGAGCTTTGGGCTATAATGTTAGTCTGTGTTCCTTCTGCGGGAGTCATTGCAAAAATGTTTCTCATTCACGACGTGCCCCGCTTACGGTGGGTGATAGTGTGAGCTCCAGAACAGTGTGTGGTTGTGAACTTCTTCTCAATTCCTCCTCCACATCTCATGTTGGTCGGACGATTATGTTACATTACTAATACAAATTGATTTATTTTTTATTATCATTACTATTACCCACTGCTATATTATTGCTTAATCGTATTTATTTTTTAAAGACTTTGTGATGCAGATGCCAACATTTATATTGGTGACCCCTAAGTCATGTTTTGCTTTTGCTGATTTTTCTTTCGGGGGCGTCATTGTTTCTATTCTTGATTTCCATGGACTCCTTTATTCAGGAATGAAACATTACATTGATGCTAATTGTTCCTCTGTTTGCCAGGAGCCTGAGGCATGCTACTTTTGGGTACATTTTTGGCATTTCGTAAGGCCCAGCGCTCTTTGTCTGTGTCGTGACTTCCCTGTGTTTTACTAGCTCCGTGCTCATGTGCTATTGTGATCTGTGTGTGTGTGTGTCTGTGTGTGTGTGCACACATGTGCACGTGTCTGGGCCTTCACACGGCACACACATCCTCTGGGTCTCTGTGTCCCCACCTCTTATCTTCTTGCAAGGTCACCTGTCCCTTCTTGCAAGCACCCACCCTTATGACCTCACCATACCTTGATTCCATCTGCAAAGCCTCTATTTCCAAACACTGTCGCATGTAACAGATTCCAGCACTTACAACGTGGACCTTTTTTTGGGTGGGGGGGAGCTCAATGCAACCCCCAACACCAATTTTGCCTGACGTATCCCATCCCTGCCACTGTGCATTAGTGACCTCCCTCCTACATTCTCCTCCTCATTGGACCGTCTTCGCGGCTTCCTGTTTCGGCATCCCTGATCTGAAAGTCAAATCTTCTGCATGTTATTTAGTGTTTTAAGGTTTATTTTCGATAGTGCTTTCTTTGCGACCATAAAACTGAGACTTGACACTTTCCTTCAACTGGTGTCCTGTCAGATGTCCCTCAGGCACTTGGTAAGGAGGGCTCGCCATGTAAGAGTAATTAAGACTTTCATTAGACTCGACTTGGGCCTCGATATTAATTTTGGAATTACTAACATTTTATAAGAGTCACTGTGCCCACCCAGAACCTGGTGTATTTCCATTCATGAAAGTCTTCTTGTATGAGTCAGGTGTCTTCAATGTGGTCATCTACTTTCTGAACATATTTCTATATATTGATAATGGGTATTGGAGCTACTATGAATAGTAGCCTATCACCCACTGTATCTTGAAACGGGTTATTTTTAACATAAAGAGAAAGTATTACTTTTGGTGTGCATTTTTAACAGAGAAACACTGTCACGTATTTATGTATGTACATGTATACGAGAGTATATACATATATATATAAGCATAATAAACTAAATATACTATTACACTAATTCTATACTAGGAGTATACTATATAATGATCTCAATGTCTTTTTTAATGTTTATTTATTTGTGAGACAGAGAGAGACAGAGTGTGAGCAGGGGAGGGGCAGAGCACAGAATCCGAAGCAGGTTCCAGGCTCTGAGCTGTCAGCACAGAGACCAACGAGGGGCTCGAACTCATGAAACGTAAGACCACGATCTGAGCCGAAGTCGGACGTTAACCGGCTGAGCCACCCAGGCGCCCCTCAACATCTTATACATTATCTTAATGCCTATATTATTATATATTATTGCTATAGTACTTATTAATTTAGCATGCTATTAATAATATAATATACTGATGATCCATGCATTTGTTGTATTATATAGTACAGCATATACAATTACTAATGATCTATGTACATGTTATATCATTACATTTTATGTTATATATTATATATGTGAAGTATATATTTAAGTTGATGTTGGACATCATGTATTTTCATGGTTACTCCCTAATTCATGATTTTTTTTTGTTATATTTTTGAGAAAGCGAGCACAAGTGGGGCAGGGGCAGAGAGAGGGAGACAGAGGATCCCAGATGGGCTCTGTGCAGACAGCAGAGAACTCACGAACCATGAGATCATGACCAGAGCCGAAACCAAGAGTCGGACTCATAACTGACTGAACCACCCAGACGCCATTTACGCTTGAAATGAGCATGTTGTGACTTGTCCTGAGATGTGTGTGTGCGTATGACTTTCTCAGACAATTGTGTCCTCTCCTGGGCTCCTGCCGCCCTGCCCAACCCATAACCCACTCCCAGCCATCACCACTGCTCTGCACGCAGGGCCAGCCAAGCCTCTCCTGCTGCTTGCCTGTCCCGTCCGTCCGCCTCACCTTGGACTCTCACCGTCCCCTCCCATTCTCCATGAACCTGCTCTGAGCTACTGAATTCTCTGGGACTCATTTTGGATGCCTTAATAACTAGGTACCAACCAGAGGATTTCCCCTGGGTCGAGTAGGGGATGTTATTTGCATTGAAAGCCTCTAGGCAAGTTTGAGGAAGCAGGAAGCCAGATGGGGTGGGGGTGGGGAGTTTCTGGAGCTTTCCAAACACCTGTGAAGTGGCAGTTGGTGTAGGGCAGGAAGTTATATGGAGGGAGATGAGGAAACATGGCTAGGTTCTTCTAATGCATCCTGTAAGCCCTCAGACTCCTACAGGCGGAAACCAAGAAAACCTAACAAAGAAAACATTGTAACACGGAGATCAGAGATTTTTGGGATTTGGGGTTTTGATATACTTTCCAGGATGGGTATGTTGGAGAAATGGAGAAAAATAAACTTTTTTTAATACTATTTCTGAAACGACATATGGAAACGTGATTATTTATCTTGAAGGCTCAGGTCTGCCTGGACAGACAGCATATACACGGCCCGTGGGTACCCACGCTTAGATATTTCGAACACTTTGTATTGATTTACAATATTAAAGCAAATGGAATTTGTTTTTGTTCTTTTTTTTGTTTCTACTGACCCCATCCTCAGTTGGAGTTAGTTTCAGACACACACACACACACACACACACGCATACGTATGCCTGCATAAACACAGACCTGTGTGCCTGTATTTCGTTCAATACTATTTCTATTTCTAATAATGTTTCAATCGTTTCTGTATTTTGAAGACTGTGAATTGACAAGCTTGATTTCCAAGGCGTCTCTCTCTGTTCCCCGAAATCCATTTCGTGCTGCCCACCGGGGAGGCCAGCCTCGCGTGCGTTTCTGTGTTTCCCCGGAGGAAACCCTGAACCTGATGTGCCAACTAATACACGTGTGACAGAAACACCGGGACTCGCACTGACGGGGAAGCACTGAGTGTGCTTTTGTGGGGAGTTTGTCGAGGGCTGGCACCTGTGGCATCGTTGAGGCTGGCCGGGGGGGGCCGCATGAGGCTGTCCTCGACTATCAAAGCCCGGGCTTCCCGTGTCCCTACGTCCTGTGCCACTTACCCACCATGAAGTCCATCTCCTGAACGTTGTCCCCATACAAGCCGTGCTTGCTGGTGCCGATGAACTCGGTGGTCGTGGGAAGCGGCACGTGGACGTGCAGAAAGGAGAACACAAGAAGGAACGGTCCCTCACGGTGCCTGAGGACACATCAATGACATGGCTCGCGAGTTTGCAAAGTCCGGGAAAGGGAACCACAGTTAGCGAGACCGTCCCTCCTCTGCCTGCCCTAAGAGAGGGGATGCACCCACCAGGCGGCATTGTGGCTGCGCTGGACTCCAGCATCCCCCAGCGTCCGGACCGCACCCGGGGACACGTGCGGGACGGCTGCAGTCCTCAGTGACCCCACCTGACACAGCCCCACGCTTTCCCAGGGCTGACGAAACCTGCAGGCCAGAGTCACATCCAACAGACCCAAGGGATGCCAACTCTTTCACAACCCATGAGCAAGCACGGACAGAGACATCTTGGCAAGCTGTCCCCACAACTTTGGCCCTTCCTGTGAGGACAGAGAAGACAAGGCTGACCTACTTCGAGCCCTGACGATCCTCCGGGAAGGCAGGTCCTCAGCTAAACAGGGCAGTGCACGACTCAAATGCGAGTCTTTGGGAAATTTCTCCTCTGATGACGTGTCATGAGGGGAAATAATGAAATCATCATCATCATCATCATAAAGTTGCACCGTGGTGAGCTGGGCAGAATGGCTGGCGTCCCTCCAAAAGTGATGCCCATCTGGAAGCTCAGAATGTCATGGCATTGCCAATGGAGTCTTTGGGGATGTAATTAGTGGAGATGAGGTCATCCCGGGGTAGGGTGGGGCCAGAATGCAAGAACAGGTGTCCTTCAAAGAAACGGATGGTTCACAGATATGGAACGCACACAGGGGAAGGAGGCTTTGGGAAATCAGAGGCAGAGGTCGGGGTCATGTAGGGACACGCCAAGGAACACCCAGCACCGACACCAGCCACCAGAAGCTAGAGGACGCCAGGAACGATGCTCCATTCGCAGGGAGCACAGCCCAGCTGACACCTTCCTTTGGGACTTTTCCAGTGTCCACAGCTCACAGAGAGTACGTCTCTGCTGTTTCAAGCCCTTCCGTTTCTGGTACTTTGTCCTTGGAGCCCAAGGAAGCTGCTATATGTGACAGTGAAGAATGAGATTATACAGATGCCGCCTTGCATGGCCAAAGGGAATCTGTAGATGCAATCAGGTTCAGGATCCTGAGACAGTGGGTGGATAATCCTGGATTATCTGGGTGTGGACCCAATGCAATTATAAGGTTCCTTGCGAGAGGGAGGCAATAAGGACAAAATCAGAGAAACATGATGTGGGTAGGAGGTAACAGAAGCAGAGATGCAGGGAGAGAGCTATAAGCCAAGGAAAGTCTGCAGTCTCTCCAACCTGGAACAAAGAACACTCTTCCCTAAAGCCTCCCAGAATGAGCTCGTCCACCCAAAGCCTTGATTTCAGTGCCATAAGATGAGTTTGGGGTTCCTGACCTCCAGAACCATCAAATAACAAATCTGTGACGCTCTGAGCCACCCCCACTTGCAGAAATGTGTTCCAGCAGCCAGAGGAAACTCACACACTGAGAATCCAGATAAAAGTGATCTCTAGCAATCTCGAATCTATGCCACCTATTCATGGCCACATCGCTAGTCAACAGAATGGCTTCCGAATCTTCGGGTCCCCATTCCCCTTCGACATGGTGCCATGATAGATCGTATAGACCTTCTGAAACTCAGCACAGGTTTTGGTGACAGAAGTCCATTTCCACACCCCAACATTTGTTCCTGATGTACTAATGTAAATGGTAAGCAACAGCATGAGTGGAACAGAATCGCTCGTCTTGAGCTCTCAGTGTGACGGACCCACCTTGCAACCTGCCAGTGTGTCCCTCTGTGCATCTATGCCTCTGCACATGTGGAAGTTACCAGGGAATAAGGCGTTTGCCCTGATGAAACCAGCCATGGCATTGCATCTACAAGGCAAAGACGGTTTGATCTCTCTCTCTCTCTGAGAGTATAAATTTGTTTTGTGTCCTCGTGGCCTATGGGGTAAGGACAAAGCTAGCCACACATGGCCCAAGATCCTTCATATCACCAATCAACTCTACAGGGCAGTCAAACACACCAGCTTACAGATCCCTACCCTGTGATGACCTCATCTTCACAAATCACATCTCCAAAGACCCGATTCCAAAGTAACATCAGATCTGGGCTTCCAGATGGATGTGAAGTTTCTAGGGAATTCCATTTCACACTAGCCTAATCCAACTCACCATGGCACAACTGCTTTTTTAATTCATTTTTTTCCCTTTCTTTGCGTTTCCATATCTCATCGCAGCCGAAGTTTCTCAGAGTGGCATTTGCATTCTGTGTGTCCCTGCTTAGCCGAGGACCTATCTTCCTTCTGCTTCAGCTTAATTTGGGAATGCCTGGCCCCTTGTTCGTCTTGTTCTTGCTTACCTTTCAGGATTTAGTTAACATGTTTTCTCAAGTATGGTTCCCTGACATCTTGGAAGGTTCCTACAGTTTGGACTGATAGCACCCTGAACTAATGCCCATTACCCTATTTCTTATCATGGGCTTGTACATCTAATGTCATCACTAAATGTGTACTTGTCCTTGAAGCCCAGACCCCAGGATGGTGATCAGTAAAGACAAAAGGTGAGCAAAAAAATGTGTTCACAGCCTTTTTCTAAAAAAAAGATCCATCAGCTAGATGTTTCTAAATGTGGCTCCCTTGCAAACTTTCCAGTGATTATGTTCGGGATGCATAGGACTTTCTAACGATCACCACTGCCCTAAGCTGAATGAAATCCCTATGTATCCCATGCTCAGCGATAAGCCCTCTGATTTTAACCTCTCAAAAAGTTTTTTTTCCCTAACAGGAAAAAAAAATGCAATGGCCAACTTACTCTACTATCTGTTTCCTGGGAAATACATTTCCCATTGTACATTAATATACAAACAATATGCATTGCAAATTAATCAGCCAGTTTTGTAAGTCTCAGTCTAGTGTGAGTCTACCTGCTTGGTCTGACCAAATCTGAATTTCGAGGCCAACAGAGGTATTGTGATTTTAATAGGAGGAACTCAAATGAGATACCACCTCCTCAGGCACTTCCTGAAGAGTCCATGCGAACTCCAAAACACGCACTATTGTATTGTCTAGCCCTAACAAGCAATATTCCATTTCTTAAGTCAACATTGTTCAAACCATCACCTTTTATGTTTAAAAAACACTCATTCTCTTATGGTTTTTAAAAGACTCCTGTCTTATCCAAATGGCCAACAGGCACATGAAAAGATGCTCAATGTCAGTCCTCATCAGGGAAATACAAATCAAAACCACACTGAGATATCACCTCACGCCAGTCACAGGGGCTAAAATGAGGAAATCAGGAGACTATAGATGCTGGCGAGAATGTGGAGAAACAGGAACCCTCTTGCACTGTTGGTGGGAATGCAAACTGGTGCAGCCACTCTGGAAAACTGTGCAGGTTCCTCAAAAAATTAACAATAGATCTACCCTACGACCCAGCAATAGCACTGCTAGGAATTTATCCAAGGGATACAGGAGAGCTGATGCATAGGGGTACTTGTACCCCAATGTTTATAGCAG